AGCCCACTTCTTCGGATGCATCCGAAGAAGTGGGCTGTAGTCCAGGAAAGCTTATGCTCTAATAAATTTGTTAGTCTCTAAGGTGCCACAAGTACTCCTGTTCTTCTTTTTGCGGATACAGACTAACACGGCTGCTACTCTGAAACCTAAGATATTTGAAGATTCCATCAGCACTGAGCATGCTGCAGCCATTCACAGTTCCTGTGTGTCACCAGGCTATACATGTGCCATCCCAACAGAGTAACTGCAAATGCTCCAGCCTGGAGATACAGGGAAAGTCCAGCTTCTTCTCTGTAACAGCTGCTTCAGGTTAGGTACGGCAGTGAAACTGAGAGCAGGGAGTCTCTCTCCTGTGCTCTCAATGACCTTTCTGCTGGCACCTAGGTAGTGTGGAGGAAGAAACTGCCTGACTCAAATGTAAAGGGGACAAGAGCTGGCCCTGTGGGGTGGGGAGATACATTGGGATAAGGAACCCGAGGGACTGGCTGGACAAGGAGACTGGCACTGGAAGCACAGTGATATGTGTGTGGAGGGAAAGCTTGAACTGGTTGGACATAGAGATTCAGACTAGGACTTAATTTTTAACTTTTAAGTGTAGACCAGGCCTGAGGTTGCAAAGTCAAGTGCTCAAAAGTTAGGAAATGCTAGAAATAAGCTTGTCTGTCAACCTTAATTCATGCTGTATGGATTATGATACACTCTTTAATGACAGGATCGCGTAGGCAACCTCAGTTTTCACCTTTCGTGACTTTTGAACTCAGCTTGAAAAATGTCAGCCCAGACGATTAAAGTTTGGCAAAGGTATAAACAACTGAAAATGGGGTCTTGTAATGTGACATGTTGGGCAATCTTAATAGGTGGCACTGCCAGTTACACACATATGGGCAATATTTTGAGGATTTCTAGAGGAAATATAACTCGCTCATGATGAATCTGAAAAATTTATAAGAAAATCCCATATTAGAGAAAAACAGAATTATATTGGTGGTCTTTGGCAGGAAGGAAGTAAGCCTCTTCCCCAAAAAACTGAGTACCAACCAATTACATGCTTATAACTCTTTCTAATTAGTTTGTATAAAATAGTAACTCTTTGGCATTTTTCATTAAGTTTGCAGAACTCTGCCTACTCCTTTTCTGTTACGTTTGTATTACATGTATGTTTTATTTACTATGAGAATACAGGCACAAAAATATTTAAGATGTCTTAAAGATGCTATTATGACACTTTTTCTCTCTCTAGTATTTTTAAGTACAGAGCTTCAAGCTTTACAGATATTGCACAGCAAGCAACTTAAAAGTTCTCATTTGGAAAAGAATAACGAAATCTATCAGGAAGTGCAAACTCTCTGTGACTCGCTGGGCCTGTCAAAGCCATCATCTTCTGACATTCCTCTCTTGTTAAGCAACGTGGAGTCAAAGGTACAGATTTTTTTAGTCTTTAAATATTCTTTTACTATTCTTTTAAGTGTGAGACCCAATATTCTAGTTCATTAAAGTCCTGTCCAACTAGCACAAAGGTATTCTGGTTCTGAAAATAGTTTAACCCTGTCTAAACTGTATGTAACTGGTTTATACTAACCTATTTCAGTTACTATGTTAAATATGTATGATGCACTTGCGATGAGATGTGATGTATACTTTTTAGTCTACTTCACCTTGTCCCACAAAGTGATAGTGTACTAATTTTCTTGATACGCAATGCAAGTAATTTTAAGTAGTGAAGGGGAAAAGTTTTAAAGTTAGGTCCACATAACTGGTTGTGCAATAATTTATCTGAATAAGTAGTAATCCAGACATGTATGTGTGTGAATGTATAATCATACCAAACCTCCACTTTTATTTTTTGGTTTGAAAATTATTTACAAGAACTTAATTTGTGAATGCCATTCTGTGAATTGTGGAATTGCCTGAAAGGGCCTGAATAACCTAAGTTAGCCAGTTCACCAAACAACTTAAGGAAAACCGTTTTTGAGACTATACCCCACCAGGTTCTAACTTGTTTGATTCTAATTTGATTCTCAATTGACTTCTGTGCTGTAGAATATAGAATAGGCTTTAGTTTCTTAATCATTTTAAATTATTTTTTTTAAATGATATAAGTGTTAGAAGGAATGCCAGTATGCATTTCCATCCCTCAAAGTCCTCTCCACTCTTGAGTGTTCTTGAGCTTTTGGTGAGTTTCTTCTGGGGTCCCGGGTCCTTTCTCCTGGACCCCAGGCTTCTTTTCCTGATCATGGAATCTCCTCTCACTCGTGCAACAAGCTCCCTTTACCTTGTTCAGAACCCGTGGTTCAAAGGTTCTCCCTCCTCAAAGAACCTTTATGTTCCCTAGAGTCTGTATTTTATTTTATTTTTTGTAAAAGAAAGTTCTAACACCATGTTTCTTTGTTCATTCTTTTCTGCTGTGGATTTTCCGCTGATCAACCCCTTCTCCTCTAGACAACCTGGGTAGAACTTGCTTTCCCCTAGCCTGCAGATATCCCATTGTTGTAATGTGCTCCCATTTGAGTGGAAGGCTACTCAGTTTTAATGACTCTCTCTTGTTCCTGATTCCCAAGATATGTGACACTAGCACTGGTAACGAATGACTTGTTCAGTGCTAGAGCAGTTTCATAAAATCAACCTAAATTCACAAATTTCATATAGATACATTTCCCAGACTGCCATAATTCTTATTGTAAAATGGGAATTATTATTTCAGAAGGATGTATGCTTTTATTTCAGCTTCTAGTATTAGTCTCAAATACTGCAAATGCAAAAGATATTGTATTAGTATGGTGAGATTGGTAACGCCTTGCATTTTAAATCGCTGAATCCCACACATCAAAGTATTCTTTCAGCCATGTAACTTTTCTGTTGTTTTCAAGCATGTGGCTGTACAACAGGCTAGATTATATAAGTAAATCAAGATAGTGACCCATTTATCAAAATCTTTGCGAATAACACGACACCAGTAGCCTAATTAGGCTACTAATTTTGCTTATTTGTAGGGATGTCAAGTGATTAAAAACATTAAATCCAATTAATCACATTGTTAAACAATAATATACCATTTATTTAAACATTTTTGGATGTTTTCCACAATTTCAATTACAACAAAGAATACAAAGTGTACAGTGCTCACTTTGTTTTTTATTACAAATGGTTGCATTTTTAAAAAAGAAACAAAAAATAGTGTTGCAATTCACCTAATACAAGTACTGTAGTGCAATCTCTTTATCATGAAAGTTGAACTTACAAATGTAGAATTATGTACAAAAAATAACTGTATTCAAAAATAAAACAATGTAAAACTTGAGTCTACAAGTCCACTCAGTCCTACTTCTTGTTCAGCTGATCGATCAGACAGACAAGTTTGTTTACATTTGCAGGAGATAATGCTGCCCACTGCTTGTTTACAATGTCACCTGAAAGTGAGAACAGGCGTTCGCATGGCACTGTTGTAGCTGGCATCACAAGATACAGTAACTCCTCACTTAAAGTTGTAGTTATGTTCCTGAGCAAAATGATGTTAAGCGAATCCAATTTCCCCATTAGAATTAATGTAAATGGAGGGGTGGGGGGGGTTAGGTTCCAGGGGGAAAAAATTTTTGCCAGACAAAAAGGCATTATGTACATTTTAAACAATTTTAAACAAGCAATTTAATACTACAGTCATCATTCCTGAGTATGAAGCTTGATTGAGGTAGTGGAGTCAGAGAGTGGAAGAGGGTGGATTGTCCTGCTGTTCTTGCTGAACTTTCTGAACTTGAAAAAACACATCTAGAGATTGTTGTTTTGCTTTCCTTTATTTTTCTTTGTAAATTTCTTTATAGCAAGTCATTAGATGACCAACTCCCCTAATCACTTTGGAGCTGCATTCCCAGTCAGGATCGTCATCACTTGCATCAAGGATTTGCAAGCCAGCTTCAATCATTTGGAAAGCTTCATAAAGATGTTTGTCAGTCAAATTTCAATGGGTTGGTTGTTTTTCTACTTCTTGGACCTCTTCTTCCATTGCTCTTGTCACCGCTAGTTGCATCAGATCTTCATTGGTTAGCTCTTCTCCGTGTGATTGCAGAAGTTGTGTAACATCGACTTATTCCACCTCATCAAAATCTGCTTTCTTGGCTAAACCGAGGATATCTTTCTTCATAGCTGGGACAACATCTTTAAATCCTTTTACGACATTGACACATTCAGGCCACAACTTCCCCCACGCACCATTCATGCATGCCTGAGTAACTTCAGCCCAGGACTCACCAATGTTATTGATGCACTTCAGGATGTTGTAGTCATGCCAAAATTGCTGAATCGTAGGTTTGCCTTCCCCATCGGTGCCTCTGAGCTGGTCAAAAGTACGGTGTAAGTAATGCACCTTAAATGCAGCGATGGCTCCTTGGTCCATGGGTTGGATGAATGATGTGGTGTTAGGTGGCAGAGACAATTTTGACGTTTTCGCACAGGTCGTCCAGTTGATTGGACGAGCCGGTGCATTATCAATAAGCAATAAAATCTTGAAATCAAGATTTTCCTTGACACAGTATTCCTTCCATGCAGGGACAGCATAGAGTCAGCCATTCTGAAAAAAATAGCTCCAGTTATCCATGCCTTCTTATTGGATCTCCAAATGACCAGAAGGTGTTCCTTTGAAAATCCCTTGGTACACTGTCAGTGGTTTCATCTTCATGTCTCCGACAGCATTACCACCTAGAAGCTAGGTTAGATGGTCTTTAGCTGCTTTAAATCTGGGCGCTGTCTTCTCTCGGGAAATGCAAGTCTGCTCAGGCATCCTCTTCCAGTACAGGCCTGTTTCATTGACATTGAAGACTTGTTTAGGGGAATAGCCACCTTCCTCAATTATGTTTTTGAGATAGTCGGGGGATTTTTTAGCTGCTGCAGTATCAGCACTAGCCACCTCACCGGACATCTTGATGTTATGCAGGTGGAAGCGCTTCTTGAACCGATCAAACCATCCCCGACTTGCTGTGAAAGTCTGTCTGTGATTCTTCACCTTGGTCTCTCTTCAAATTGTCATACAAACTTTTTGCCTTAGCTTGTATCACTAGCAAATGTAGAGGTATGTTGCACTGGTTTTGGTCCTCTATCCACAGTGAGAGAAGGCGCTCCATGTTTTCCAGCAAACTACTTCTTTATCGACTTATTGTAGTAGCACTAAGCGGTGTTACACACCGAGCACTTGCCCTGATCTTGTCGGCATTATTTCGAATTGTTCTCACAGTGGTCGGAGTAAGACCTAGAGCCATGCCAATGTCTACTGCATGCTCGCCTGCATGAAAACGCTTTAAAATGTCTAATTTAGTACCCAAACTAATGGGTTTCCTGGTTTTCTTGCTGCTAGTGGTACTGCTACTGCTAGGCACTTCACTATCACTTGTTGGATGTTTTTGACTTATGCTGGGTGATGCTCCTTCGGACGCGCATGCATGTGCTATTCTTCACTCGCTTCAGCCTGGAATGGCCGGGGTCATGCAGCATCAATCAACTATTGCCAGGGAAAGAATTTGGAAAACCCATGTCATTCTCCATGGTAATCTGCTCCCCTGCTGGAAGCCCTGTGTGTTTAGACGAGGACTAGTTATGGAGGTTCTTACTTTCACAGGAGCCCTGCTGGAGGTCCAAAGGCCTCTCTTCCAGGGTGCCCTGGAAAACTGACCCTGCTGTATCTCCCCTAGTAACCATCCACTCAGCACCCAGGCAGCATTGCAGCCAATGTAGTAAGAGGAGGAAAATAATGTTTGCTGCAGAACTTTGCCCTTCTCTGCTGTGTTCATGCAGGGGCAGAGAGATGCAGCTGGCATTAAAGTGAATGGCAAAGCTCCCGTGGATTTCAGACTTTCATGGGAGTAGGGCCAGGTTCTGTGCATATCTATGCTGCTTCTCCCCCTTGCTACAGTGAAGCAGGTGCTGGAACGCTATTCCTGTAACTTGCTTTGGGCGGGCTGCTGCCCCCTGTGTTCTTACCTCCCTCCAGCAAAGGGGGGGGGGGAGCAGATAAAACATTGTTTATTCTGTTGCAAGACAGCAAGGCAGGGCCTCTGTTGTGCACCACCTGCAGCTGCTTTGCAGGCAGCTGGTGGCCTTGCAAGTGCTTGGTGTAGTGCCCTCTTCCCGAGTAGGGTCGTTGAGCCATAAAGCAACAGTGAATCGCTGGGGGTGGGTGGTAGTGTGCACGTGCTGTGTGTTTACAAACTTACTGTACATACAGTACAGTACTATAGTTGGGAGGTATCCCTGCCTTATCTCACACAGGCACAGCCCACTGGCACTGCAGACAATGCGGCAGATAAGGAGGCTGAAGGTGCCGTAGGTTAGGAGAAGCACCTTGTGCAGTGGCAGCTTCCCTTACTGTGCAAGTACAGGTACTGACTTTGCGGGGGGCGGGGGGCTCAACCCTTGGCCCACCCAGTCCACCCCTT